GCCCTCTTTTGTCCTCCTCGCATTCGCGAATTTCCATAGCGATGCGATGCCAGGGTTCTCGCTCTGAATTTCACGATTTCATGACCCTTGAGCTCTGGAGGATCTCCGTTCGGACGTTTTGTTCTTCCATTTCGTCGAAATTGTCCACTGGCACAGTTGAACTGATTCTCGAAATTGAGGGGCGTGCTGCGATGTGGAGGTAGCTCCATTTTTTTTCAAATTTTCCTCTTTATCGCACCACAAAAAAATGGAATGTTTTAAATCCATGATTATGTTCTAGCCTCAAAACCATAAAAAAAATGGAGCTACCTTGTAAGTGCATCACATTCCTCATTATTCGTTAATATTAAGTACCTGTTTTTTAGAGGGATACGCGTCCCAGATCATTCGCGTTCCAGAGATCACTAGAAGTCGATCTTATAATTTTACTTTAAGTAATAAAATACGAATGGTGGTCCACGCAACGTGTGCACCATTATAACTTCCAAAGTATGCGTTGCACAAAAAAATGTTATATACAAAAGTTACATGGTTTAAAAGGGTACACTATGCAGTGGGTTCATTTTTTACAGGTCCAGGCGTTTCGGAGATTTGAAGGATAACTTGGTTTTTTAAATAGAATACTATATCTTTTATACAAAACTATAATGGAGTATCGAATTCTGAATAAAAAAGTAGTGACCTTTATTAGTCCTAAACTTAATAGCTAACGAGTAATTTCAATTTATTACTTGAAAATTTTCTTAACGTAATATCAAGTTGGAGGTTCAACCTTATCACAGATTTCCGCAGAACAGCGATGTTTGCAGCTATGGAGCTCTTGATGAAGTGCTAGGTAATAGGAATAATGTTTTTCAAAATCAATTTTTAACCAAAATTTTCGTGCGTCAACTAGAGAGCGTTTTTACGGCGAAATAGATTGTTTTTTACAGGTACAGTATTGTCTCGAAATAAGCAATTGTTTTTCGCCTCGAAATAAGCGTCTTGCTATCCCCACTTTTTTGTGTACATTTTTGTATTCCACTATTGTTCCCCTGACTTATGAAAAAATTTCCTGACTTTTTCCTGATTTTCCTGATTTCTCTAACCAGTGGCCACCGTGTAATATTACGCGAAGAAAATGTTCAAGTAATAAAGTGAAAGTACTAGTTACGAATTAGGTTTAGGGCTAAAAATGACCAATACTTTTTTATTCAGAATTCGACACTTTACCATGTCTTTGTATAAAAAATATAGTATTCTATTTAACGAAACAAAGTTGTCCTTTAAATCTCAAAAACTACTCCACCTGTGAACAAAATTAATGCACTACATAGTGTACACTTTTAAACCATGTAACTTTTGTATGTAACATTTCTATGTAACATTTTTCCGTTCAACGCATATTTTGGAAGTTATAAAGGAGCACACGTTGGGTGGACCACCCTGTATACTAAAGTCCAGAAGATATTCGCCTTACCGTCAGCTGTTTAATTAAGGTCGTAGCTCGCAAGATAATCGCACATCCAAGTTTTCATCTTACAAAGTTATCTCGAAAACCGTTCACTGTATAATCTCAAAACCATAATCATTGACTTCGGGATTTCAAGCGCTATAATTATGCATACGCTCGTTAGAAAGTCGAAATTTCGCCTAGGAAATTCTCTTTGTAGACGAAACCTAAGAGTACGGCCTTCTGTACTCGCGTTACGTAACGCTAACCATTTGTAAACTGGAAACTCACCCTCGTCGCGAGTTAGTCGTTCTCGCCAATCGTAGAATTCCTCGTTAACTTCTCGAACTTCGACAAACACTCGACGCAACGACATTTCGCCGTCGCGACGCTGCTTTCGCTCTGCCTGACCGCGACTATTTAAGCGGATAAACCCGAACGTTTCCTCCTGCGCTTGATTTTTCCTGTTGGATCCAATTACACGGCCCCTGCGTCTCTCGACGTGCAATTTACCGTCCGAACCGTCGGCTACGTCAGACGCCGTCCGCGTACCGTAGGGGTCGTCAACGTTGCTGAGCTGGATCCTTGATTGACGGGGATAAACTTCGTACGAGACGGCGTGTGGTTGAAATCGCCAAAACCCTGGACAGAAATAGAAAAAGTTTTCGGATTTTCATGAAATTTGGTATTCATGACGTGGAATGACGACTACGAACTCTGATATTTTAACTATTTATTTTAATTACTGATTATACGCGTTTAGTCGTTCCTTTTTACGCAAGGATTATGATCAGACTGCGGATCTTTATGCGAAATAAAATCTTCGCGAACTTGCCTACAAAAATTGAACCTAAATAAGAATTTATTTTATTTTGCAAATATTATAACATTAACTTTTCTTTCAATCTTTTTTATATTCTTCCATATTGTATTTCCATATTGTACTCCATTTGTAGGTTTTTGCACATTCAAATTTCTTATAAATACATAAAGATCCGCAGTCTAATTATGAATAACGAAAATAATCATTTCAAAATAAACGATTCTATCGGTTTCGCTGTGAGCTCATTTTTTAACACATATTGACTGAAAATTAATAAAAACAATTACATACACATGTTCGACTAACCTCCAGAAGTAGTATCCGTGAAAAAAGATGTTGAAATGACAGTTGTTGATCAAATGTAGAGTCGATTGGTGCTGATGGGTAGCGTGAATTTGTTAATGTATTTTTCTGTCACAATTTAATGTCACAGAATCGCATTGATATTGAATCACGCTCGAATGGTTGTGTGAACTCATTTATTCGATACTATGGGCTGTATAAGACGGTTTGGGACTGCATATGTTACGCAAAACTGGATCATCTAAAATTAAAAATTCCAACCAATTTCTTTAAAGCAATGTTAAAACTAATACTTAATCGCAGCTTTTGAGAAAATATCGCTATTTAGAAAAATGACGTATAACCAAATGTTAAAAGTTGTTTTTTGCAGAAAAAAATGCGCTTACTTTTATACAGGGTGTTCTACCTAACTCTTGCGTCTTAAATAGCTCGCGCGTTTTTGGTGATAGAAAAATGTTCTCTAACGAAACATTGTTTGATCTGGAAGGGGGCATATTATATACAAAAAAATGATCTCAAAATCATATTTTCCGAGGTTGGACGGTCACTCGTGTTTTCTTGAATGTGATGGAGTATTTTCATTTGCAACAAAATTTTAAAGAATGTTTTTCATGGTTTAATACGTACGTAAATATTTTATTCACAGATTTTTTATCAGTAGAAATCTATACCGAGCTGATGAAAAACAACCCTCGATGTTTGGAACGGAAAACCTATTTTTTCCAATATATCGGAATCTGCTACGCATATGGAAAAGTTTAATTCCGAAAATTCTGTACTTTTGAACATGGAATTTAGCTACGTGCGCAGCTGTCAGTAAAATCTATTTGTTTAAAAGGTTGAACGTCACGTCATGCATACATGTATGATACTAATGTTCCAGTTACTACACCGTCATATTTTAAAGCATAACATCCAAATACGAATAACATTTTACTCGAATCCAGTGAGTGTTTGAAAGCATGCCGCCTGTAGAAGCTTTCGGTGAAATTGGTCGAAACGAAAGTATTGATTTCAAAGGGTAAATCATGAATAAATCTAAATTGATCCCGAGAGTAGTTTTATAAAATTTGCCTGACAAGCAACGTTTTACGAATTGTGGTATAATGCATGCAATAACATATTACGAATTTATATATATGTATTTTTTTAAATTGCTTTTAACCTTTTAATATCCCAACTTTGTTTTCCACTAACCGACACGATTTTTGTAACAGTTTTACAGAAATTATAAAATTACGGTGTAAAATATGTTGAAAAAAATTATTACAAGGTTATAATACAATTTGATTTTATTGCACAAGATGAATTGTAACAAAGTGAATAGATGTTTGTCCTGATTTACAAATTTTGAGATTTCAAATTGAAAACATATTTTTATTAAAATAAAACACAGCCTATGTTACTCAGAGATAGTGTAGCTTTCTATTATTCTAAGAACAAACAGACAACAGACAAAAATGTTGCAAAAGCGTGTTTAGGTTTTAGCAAGGTGCAAAAGTCATCTAAAAGTTTAAAAAAAAGCATTATTTCGAAATCACATACAGACACTTCAGTTTTATTTATATAGATAGATAGATAGATATACGTTCCAATAAGTTCCAGCGCTAAACGAACGTCAAACGAGGTCATCTTAACCACTTGCACTGGCAAAAAATTCACCAACGCGTGTACCAGGACCATCCAGTGTAATTCGCGGGGAGGCGTCATGTAGTGTTCGATTCTTCAGAGAAATCGGAAAAAGATTTATAGTTTCTAAACTAATTTATTTGGAATAGTTTTTTGAAGGAAATATAGAACATCGATTGATTATAAAGTTATACAAATGTAATCCACGTCGTTTTTATTTTCTGTGACAATTGCATAACGACTTACGTACCACCTACTTGGCGATTCTGTGACAACAGCATCACGACGTGCGTGGCACGTCTTTCCAGTGCAAGTAGTTAAAACGTAAATAATGGAGACAAGTGTTCTTTCTTTGTTTTATTTTGTAACATTCATTGTTAAATAGTTTCTTATTACATCAATTGTGAACGTATTTATTGCTAATATTCACTTTTATTCATGAAACTATCATGAAAATCAAGAAATCTTCGAGTAAAGATGTCGTGTTTGTGACCGAGGAAGGTTTTTCCTTCTTTGATACTTTTTGTTTATTCGCGACGGAGTCATCGAAAGTCGTTGGTCTAGGCCTGTTCAGCAAGCAGTTGTCGATAGCAAGACACCGCATCAATGACACTTCGTCTTGCCTTTGTACTTCTATCAATATTTAAATCATTTTCTACAAACTGAAGAAAAAACCTACCAAATACTCACTGTATTTGATTTAGATAAGATTTTTGCTCGTCCCTGGGTGTGACCGCTCCCCAAACATTGCTGCGCAATTTACAGGAAGTGGTAAGGGTTTTGCCGCTAAGAACGCTTTTGTTTGGTTTCCAGATCGGCGGAGGAAATTCTGACGATGCTTTTGGAAGCCAGCGAGGAGGGGGTGGAGGGAAATTGGGACGGTGGTCGGATCGTATGGAGCGTACGTTACGCTTACGAGGACGAGGAGGACAACGGCTCCCAGCTGAATGGAATGGATCAGCTGCAGCAAAGATTGCAGCAGAGGCATGTGCAGCACCATACCCATCATCACGCTGAGAGACGGAAGCTGCAGGCGCGTCTTGAGATACAGAAAGACGATATCCAAGCTGTTCTGCCAATTTCCAAGGTAAGGTCTCCGCGCGAATCATTTCCATTCGATGAACCGGGTTGCTCTGTCAATCATAGTCGGCTTTACACGTAACTCCCATTTTGTGGAGCCTAATCGGCGCTATTAGGGCTTTTGAGCACGATTTATCATTTTCTAATTCTAATATAGGGTAAAAGATACAACGTGTGCACCTTAGATCTCTCAATATCAAAAATATCACTTCTTCCTGCTCAAAGATCCCCTGAGACATTTGATGTTCTTTTTTTTTTGTATTCGATAGGTCTAACTTTTTTCCTTATAGGCAAGAACAAGTAATAGGTATATGTGTACAATTTTCAAAAAGTAATAGTAGCGAGAGCTTCTGCTTGTGTCGATAATTGAGAGGTGTGCATCAATAAGGAGGCAGTTCCATTTTTTCAAACTTTTAGGAAATTAAAAAAAACATTTAAAATTCAGGTTTTCGAAATTTTCTTTCTTTTTCTTTTTCATAGCATAGGTATTATGAAATTACGTCGTTACGGATTCCATCCTTCCTTCTCAGAGTGGAGGGTGGAGGATTAATGTTTGGAGCTACCTCCTTATTGCGTCCTGTTTTAAAAAAACACCTGAAATTTAACTATCCTAGATACAATTAGAGGTCAAAATGTTAGTTAAGTAGAACCGTATCCTTTTTACTCGTGCAAGTTAAAAAAACCCCTAAATTTTATTTAAAACCCTCCGAAATATTTCAATCGTTTATTTATTACAGTTTCTCACAAATAAAGATATTTGATTTAAAATTTAGTTAAAAATGAATAAGTGTCGTTACGTGTAAAAATGTAATAAATAGAAAAAGATAAATTAACAAGAAAATTACAACTCGGGGATTTAAACCCTGGCGATCATCCGCGCAACAATCTAGTCTTGAAAATTTGCTATTCACATAGAATTGTACATATTTTCGTGTGTGTTGTTTTTCTTTTCTTTTTTTTTTTAAATAGAGGCTTTATATCGCATCGACTGCTCGGTCATTAGCGACGAGGATATTTTATATTTTGTGGAACAGGTTGGTGTCTCTCAAATATTTGATGGTGTTTTGTACGTGGTCTTGAAAAGTTAGGGCCGAGTCTGGTTTTAATTGATATTTTCGTCTCTCGGCATCGTATCTTCGCCATTCGAATAGTTATTAATTAGTTAATTAATTATTCATTCATGAGTAATAAATGAATTATATACCTCGTAACTAGATGGTCAATTAACTCAAAGTTTCAACGGGGAACAACTACCTTAACGACCAGAAATATGTGCGAGTCTGTGTGTACTTAGGAGCGCCGCCATTAAAAAACCCCTAAATTATTCTAAAAAATTATTCTAGAAAATTTGTTCCCCAAAAGTCCCCCTAAAAAATTGTACCCCTCGAAAACTTCCCGCCCATACATTTTCCCCCTAAATCTACGGACAAAGGCCCAAGTTGGCAACCGTGACTGTTCCCCCTGTGCCGTCCCGCTAATGTTCTTTCCGGCTCGCTATGGTGTACCATGCCACGGCCACCGCATCAAACGTGTCGCGAACCGAGTCACGAAATCGATTTCTCTGCGGCCCGCAACGAAAACATTTGAAACAATGTTTGCGATTCGATACATGTGCCCCCGACACGAGATTCGAAAACGACGCGACGGCGATAAAGGAGGTCCGATGTAATTTCGAATCGTTGTTCGAGGACCGGTCCCGAACTCGGTGTGGATACTACGTGCGCAACGATTTTCATTCCCGACAACTGTGCCCCCGAACGTGCAACGTGAATTCCACGGGCAGCATCGCGGGCTGCCCGGAAATAGAAGAATTCAGCTGCTGGAATAGAAGGACGAGTACACGTGAACCAATATCGCCATTCGACGAACCGGCACGATTTTCAGCCTCGGCCTCAGCCAACCGCACAGCCTCACGGTCTCCTGACCTGCCGTGCGCACCCACGCCCTCCACCAAGCTCTCTTGAAAAAGAATCCGCTAAGTTGCACGATAACCGCCGGCAGAAGTGCCGATCGATACCGCCGAAACGAGTACGCGGCGTGTGCCACAAACGGGCGGAATTTTATTCGAACAATAGACGACGAATGAGGACGCTACATAATAGTGGTTGATGATTTTTTGGAGGCGCCACTCACTCTTCTAACCCCTTGAGGGATATTAACACTTTATTTACCGGGCTTTTTACTTGCAGTATTTAGCTATTCGAATTTATTTACTGTGTTGATGGTTGTCTACGAACAATGTTCATATAGTGTACATCAATGTACATAATAGTGGTTTGATGATTTTTTGGTGGCGCCACTCACTTCTCTAACCCCTTGAGGGATATTAACACTTTATTTACCGGGCTTTTTACTTGCAGTATTTAGCTATTCGAATTTATTTACTGTGTTGATGGTTGTCTACGAACAATGTTCAGTTTTTGGAAACAGACTTGGCTTTCAATGTGCCTAGTAACAATATGGAGAAATTATTGTCAGTCTAGATTGGCATATGTTACTGTAGAAAATGCTTTTCTCAATTAAAAACTGTTTCTAAATAGCCCGGTAGATAAAGTGTTAACGAATATGTGTACGTTTGCTTTTCCATCAAAATTGCCATTACCTACAACAGTGCCTTTTAGAATTAATAAATATACCATATTAAAGTCAAACAGGATATTTTTAGGTTAAACTTTACTTCGGGACACTAAAAATTATTGACTTTTTTTTACCATTTAGTAGTTTTCGATGCCTAGAATTCATAAATCTAAGTTTTAATGGTACGAATCCAACGGTTTAAAAGTTATGTGTATGTCAAGTTGAGCACTTTGGAGTTTTGACTGGTTAATGCGACGCCATATTTACTTTTACCGATACTCTATTGGTCAATTAGGTAGGGAATGTCAGTTTTCTCTACCTAAGTGCATTTATGCGGGATCAATCAAAACTTGTTGACGTAGGTTTCGCTCACCCAACATACACCAGGAAGTTGGACTCCAAATCTACTCTGACAGTATTTTCGTAACATGTTTTACCATTTTGTTATTATTTAGAAATGTATTGTTCATCTACGAACACCATTATATAACATTAACATATATACAATAAATGATTATTCAAAGGAAACCTCTGACTAAATACGATAAAATTATGTTTTACATTCGAAGAATAATAATTATATGTATAACAGGGGTTGAAAATAGTTGTGATATTGATTCTGGTTCTCAAAACAGTTGTAAAAACCAAAATGGTGTTAAAACAGTTATAGATCACAAAAGTTCTAGCTTATATCGTTCACATTTACAGTTCTACAGAATCACTATCATGTCGAATTTGAAACGATTCTTTATACATCGTTTCTCTACGTTTCTAAAAATATATTTTAACTATATTCGGCTATATATCAAAACATAATTTAGCGGTAGTGTTTGACAAAAATAAGCTTCTAATTGTAAGGAGAGTAAAGTAAAGTTGAAATTAATTTTGTCCGCGCACAGATATCAATAAATTTCAAATGTTACAGCTAATAATTAATTTACACGTTTAAATAGTGATAAAACTGTTCATGATGACAATTGTACAAGCTCTAATGAGGTTTGAAAATTGTTAATCTATAATGAGTGTTGATTGATACCCAATCAATCAAAAAATTCTATGCAATGGATATATTCTTAGAAATGTACAGAAACAATATAAAACGGTTCTTCTAACGGTTTCAGTCAAAAGTTTCATGTAACAGTTTGAAACAATTATTTTTTGCAACTTTTTCAACCCTAAAGTCCATAAAATCTAAAGACATCTATGACATCTATAGAGTGTACTATATATGTACATCGTTTTACAATTTAAATTCGAATTTTTATCTAGATAAGAATTTTTTCCATCTCTGGCATATGACCATCCGCGCAAAAATCCGCTTCCACTTTGTTGCTCGATCAACGATCCGGCCTCTTTTTAGGTAAGAGGAGCAAAGGCTTCCGATTGCGGAAGAAGGGTTTGGGTACGAGGGACGTCAAAGGATAATGCTTTCCTCCCGATGACAAAGCAAACGATGCCATGAACCATATTCTTAACCCTCGTACGACGAAAGGCTTTTGATCTTTGCGCGAGTTTCTGACGATGTTCGTGATACTTCCATCGAAAAATCCCTCCGCAAAGCAGTTTTAATTTCTCTACAAAGAAATAACAGAATTCCGATTACTCTACGAGTATAATTCGTAATTACCCAAAAGAAAGAAAGAATACACTACGGCTCAAAAGTATCTGGACACTTTTCTGTTCTATAAAACATAGTTTAACTTTGTACGAAATTGTAATTATTTATGTTATATTTTTTGAGGTATCGAAGCGTAATAGAATTAATTTTTACGTATATATTATATAATGAGTATGCAGAAATAAAATTCCTATCTGAAAATACAAAATCTAATTGAGAACGGTCTCGATGCTTAAAAGAATCTCAAGTTCCACTTTGTTTCATCTCTATGTAGAACGAGTTCAGGGAGTTCTTCGATATGCATTAAGTGTCTATAAACGTTGATGACATGTTTATGTAAACTTGAGAGAGATAAGAATTAGTGCAAGATTAGTGCAAGCGGTAATATCTAACCGCGGCGGATACATCGATGAATCCAGTATTTAATTTTAGTGTAAGCTTGGTTTTAATTTAAAACGTTAGATATTTCGTAAGAAATCGATTTTTATTAGTTACTTACGAAATATCTATCGATTTGGTCACTACTTTAGAGGTACTCGAATAACTTTTATGCAATGCTAATACATACATATTTCACAAATGTCCGGATACTTTTGAGCGATAGTGTACATACAAATGAGTCCCGGAACGCAATATTAAAAGCCACTTAGTGATCGAATACGCTTAACTTTTTCTAATTTGGAGTTTCATCTTTATCGAATAAGATAATTCGCAAAAACGAATTTCTAACGTCATCGAGTTGAAAGACAGTTCGTACTATCTCATCCATGATAAAAATAAAATTGATCGTCCGAGTAACATCAAAATTAATA